CATCCTTTGCAAATGTTTGTCTAAACCAGGGGTTGGCAACCTATGGTCCACACAAAGGGACTGGCAGACATAGAGAGGAACTGGTTGATAGCTTTCTTATAACATCTAAGAAATGACCTGCTCGGCAGCACAGAAGTGGAAAGGGATCTTGGAGTCCTAGTGGACTCCAAAATGAACATGAGTCGTCAGTGTGACAAAGCCATCAGAAAAGTTAACGGCACTTTATCGTGCATCAGCAGATGCATGACAAATAGAACCAAGGAGGTGATACTTCCCCTCTATCGGGCGCTGGTCAGACCGCAGTTGGAGTACTGCGTGCAGTTTTGGGCACCACTCTTTAAGAGGGATGTGGATAACCTGGAGAGGGTCCAGAGAAGGGCCACTTGTTAAGGGCTTGCAGGCCAAGCCCTACAAGGAGAGACTAGAGCACCTGGACCTCTTCAGCCTTTGCAAGAGAAGGTTGAGAGGCGACCTTGTGGCTACCTATAAATTCATCATGGGGGCACAGAAGGGAATTGGTGAGGCTCTACTCACCAAGGTGCCCCTGGGGGTTACAAGAAATAATGGCCACAAGCTAGCAGAGAGCAGATTTAGACTGGACATTAGGAAGAACTTCTTCACAGTTAGAGTGGCCAAAATCTGGAATGGGCTCCCAAGGGAGGTGGTGCTCTCCCCTGCACTGGGGGTCTTCAAGAGGAGGTTAGATAGGCATCTGGCTGGGGTCATCTGAACCCAGCACAATTTCCTGCCTATGCAGGGGGTCGGACTTGATATTCTATTGAGGTCCCTTCCGACCCTAACATCTGTGAATCTATTAATCTTTTCACATACTAGAGGATGGTTAACATTGTCTGCTCTTTTCTGAGGAAACTGAGTTTTCCTCGGAGGCCATGTTTTCCAAGCCTCTTTGTATTTTTCTTCTGTTCTGGGCTTGTTCCAGTTTGTCTGTGTCTTCAGGCATGATGCCTAAAATTGGACACAGTGTTCTAGCTGAGGTCTCAACAGCAGTGAGCAGGGCCAAATAATTACCTTCCTTGTCATGCATACAATGTTAATGCATTCTAGAAAGAGATTGGCCTGTTATGTAACAGCATCACATTATTGACCAGTGTGTAGCCTGTGATCCACTCTAATGATCCACTTCAACCCCCAAATTATTTTCTGCCAAACTGCTGCCTGACCAGTTATTCCCCATGTCACATTTGTGCACGTGATTTATTTTTCCTAAGTAAGGTGCTTTGCACTTGTCTTTTACAGAATTGCATTTAAACCAGGGGTTGTCAACATATACGCCATCAAGCCAGAGGGCTTTCTCTGCTCTGGGGCTGAGGCCAAGCAGTGGCAGTCTGCACTGGGGCTGGGCAGCTGGTACTCTTTGGCTTGTGGCAGTGGCCTGGATGCAGCTTCCAGTCACCAGGCCTTGGCATAGGTCTCCAGTGCCCAGCCCACCACGAATGTAGGTAAAGCCCCCCACCACTGCTGAACACCGCTGGAATGCCACTGAAGCCCCCTGGCCCACATTATACCAGAGCCAGCCTGCAGCTCAGAAAGGTTGCCAGCTACTGATCTAGTTCATTTCCTCCCATTTCTCCATTTTTTTCAAGATCATTCTGAATTATAATCCTGGTCTCAAGGACTCTCTAACCCTCTCCAGTATCACTGAAGATAATGTTGCACAAATTGCTAGTTTCGTGTCCCTGGAGGCTAATCCAATTTACCTCAAGGAGAGAGTCATACACTCAGGCTGGGTCCAACTCCATTTTATTGTTTGCGCAAACAGATCGACAGTGGAGCTCAATGCTCAAAGCAAAGTTGACCCCGAGCCGTGTCCCAGGTTTTATCTTTATAGCTAACCTGAACAAAAGATTCCAACGTGATTGGTTATATTTTTCTGTAAAGTTCAGTATATGCGTAGTCCTAAAACGGAACTGCAGCAAAAAGACCTGCCGCATGCGCAGTCCCAACCTATGTGCCCCTTAGTAACCTTGTGTTTTGGTGTAACTCTAGGATAATGAGCGAGTATGATGATTACAAAATTTAGGTGTTTTAACAAGAAGCTTTGAACCTTATCACAAAGCGAGCGTTGCTTGGACTGTTTCTTATTATGATATTGCTTATCTACTGCAGGAGGAGAAGAAAGAAAAAGCAGCCCCCACACAAGGCCGTAAGGCCTTGTGCAGCTTGCATAAGAGATCATGAGACATTTTTATCACAATAATGAGTAAGGTTGGAACCAGGTCAGACCCTACAGGACCCCAGTGGGACCCTGCTTTAAGTGCCTTCCCAGTCTTGACAGCAAACCTTAGATTGCTGCTCTCTGAGTTCTATTTTTCAGCCAGTTGTGTGCCCCCATTTTGGTGATTTACATTTACACTGTAATTTATTAACTTAAAAGAATAACAAATTAGACCATATCAGGCACCTTACTAAAATTAACATATACCTAGTGCTTTTCCATTATGCCCTAGGAAAGGTATCCTATTAAAAAGGAAATTAGATCAGTTTGATATTTGTTGCTGCATTCATCAAAACCCATGCAGGTTGGATTTTTATTCTCAATAATTATTTTTTTTAGCATCTTAGAAAAGTAGGGCTGTAGGGGACCTTAGGAGGTTATGTAGTGCAAGCCCCTGCTCAGGACAGGATCATCCTTAACTAAATCATCCCAGCCAAATGGCCACTAAAAATCTTTGAAGGAAAGAGATTTCACAACCTAGATCGGTAGCTTGATCCAATTCTTTAACCAGCCTTGTAAGAACATTCTTCCGTATATGCAACCTAAATTTTCCTTGCTGCCATTTAAGACCATTGTTCCTTATCCTGTTCCCTGCAGCCGTAGGGAAGTCTTATCTTCATCCTCTTTGTTATTACCCTTCAGATATTTAAAGACTGTTATGAATCTCCCTCAGTCTTCTCTTCTCCAGACTACTTAGTCATGTTTTCCAGGGCTCAAATCACTTTTGTTGCTCTCTTTTGAACACCAGTTTGTTTACACTGTTTCTAAAGTGTGACATGCAAACCGGGAGCAGTGAGGTCTCACCAATGCTGAAGAGTGTAAAAATCGCTTCCCTTGATTTGCAAATGAAGTTCCTATTAATGCAGCCTAGTATGTTGTTGGGTTTTTTTGCAACAGCAATGTGCTTTTAGTTTATGATCCTCTATAAAGTACTGGTCCTTTTCTGTAGTACTGCAACCTTATTTCCCAGTCTATACCCATGCAGGACATTGTTCTATCTGCAATGCAGAACTTTGTACTTGTCCGTGATGATTTTTTTTTTTTATTAATTACAGATTATTTTTCCAGTTTTATCAAGATCATTCTGGAACGTAGCACTTCCCTCCAGGGTGTCTGCAACTCCACCCAACTTGGTGTCATGTGCGAAATTGCTAAGGGTGCGCTCAATCCTATCGTCCAAATCATTAATGAATAATTAATAATTAATCTGGCCAGCAAATGACACCTCCCTGGCACCAGATAATCCCTCTGCCATATGTCAAAATCCTACTACAAACTAATTGAGGTAGTGGGGATCTTATAAAGGCAGAAAAGTTGTTAATAATTAATTAATTAATTACTTTTGTTAGGTGTCTGTTCACAATTAAACTTTCTCTGTGAAGGCTGAAGCAAAAACTGTACAGAACACTTCAGTGGTCTTAGCATCATCTGTAATTTTACTCTTCAGAAATGGGCCAAGTCTTCCATTTGTTTTCCTTTTTGTAGAACCTTTTTGTATTGCCTGGTACATCCCTTGCTTAGAGAAACTAATTTTGTCTTTTATTTAGCCTTTCTGATTCTATTCTTGCAAGCTTGTGCTTTCCTTTATGCTCCTGCTTAGTTAAGTGCCATGTTCAGGTGAGTAAAGTGTTTCTGAGGTATTTGTAATGGACTCTACCTTTCTTTCACATGGAGATAGTTTGCTGCTATGCATTTGACAGAGCCTCTTTCAGTAACTGCCAGCTCATATGCATGCCTTTAACCCTTTAGCTTCCCCAAAGACCCTGTCTACTAGTTTCATGATTTTGTTGCTTTTCTGAATTCCAGTATCCTTACTCCGCTGCTCTCAGACCTGTCTTTTCTTAGAATAGCAGTCAGTCATTTTTTATCACTTGCACCCAAATTACCCTCCATCTTTTAGATCCTTAATCAATTTCTGTCCCCTAGTCAGAACCAGATCTAAAATAGCTGCTCCCACTTCTGAAACAAAAGGTTTTCCCAAACATGTCCCAGGTAGTTGATGAAGTGTATGGGTCCTGCTGTATTGTTATACACTTCTAGATTCTGTCCTATGGATGCCTCTCATAAGGTGTATCTACATGTCTACAGCACCTTTGTTACTGCGCCATCACTTAGTACTTCCAAAAGGCAGTACTAAATGATGGTGCCATAACAGCGTATACTGCGCTGTGCACACCACGCACAGTTATTTTTAGCTGCTGTGTCGCTGTAGCAACGCGCTATAACAAGGGAGCGTGTTGCTACGGCAACATAGCTGTGGCATCATGGTTTGTGACCCCTGACACTAAGTCACCATAGCACGTTGCTACAGTGATGTAGCATCGCCTGCATAATAGTTACTTAAAATAGCTTAATTCATCATCCTGACTAGATGGTCCGTACCTGACCAGATTAGCTTCCCCGTGTGACATTGCCCTCATTCCTTTTATCTAACCAGAGATATTATCTAGGCTAGAGACATTAAACAAACCTGCCTCTCCACTCTTCAGAACTTCAGATCAAATATATATGTCCTTGATATACAAAGCAGTACCTCTTCCCTTATTTCTGTCTGGCCAACCTGAACAAGCTATCCCCCGTACCAAAGTTCTCGTTCTGTAATTACATTTATCTCATAGTTTTGGGTGTATAAAGACATGTCTAGTCATTCCTGTCTATAGTCCTGGCACAATGTTGGAGTTAACAGCATTGCTGAGAGTAAGCAGATGTGTGCTTCACTGTGTTCCATTCAGGGAATAAAGTGTTTCTTTTATGTCTGTTTCAGCCATGGCAACAAGGAAGTATTTTCTTGTCGAGGAATAAAATTAGCTGTAGACTGGTTTTTGGAAAGAGGTCACAAAGATGTTACAGTGTTTGTACCAGCCTGGAGGAAAGAACAGTCAAGACCAGATGCCCTTATCACAGGTAATCTCTGGCCTGCCTTCATTTGCCTATTGAACAGTGTAGTACAATGTGTGTAATTCCTAATGACTGTCTGTAAGCATGAGAGGAATAAGTTAAGTGCAACTACATATTTTCTATGGTGAAGTATCTTTGGTGTAAGACCTTTTCTGTGATCCTCTGGTAGGGAAAAAGAAATTAGGGGAATGCATGGTTCATCACCAGCAAAATTCCTTTTAGTCTCGCTCCCTTTTTTGCTTGCCAGTCTCTATTCATACCACTAAGGACATGTCGTTTGTATCTGCTATGTGTACTGAAACTCAGATTTTTTGATAAACGGTTAATTTGTCAGGGCCAGTGGTGCTCAACCTCTGGCCTATAGGCTTGATACAGCCTACCGAGTTGTCTCATTCAGCCTGCAGGGATTCCCACAGCTCCAGAAATTTGGCAGTGGGGGAGCAGTAGCAGTATTAATTGTTGCTTTCCTGTTGCGCACAGTTCTGGAAATTTGTCACTCCCATGGGCCAGGTGACATAGCTCTGCATGCTAAATCATCAGGTCATGGTGCGGCTAGCTGCCCAATGTTCAGGATTGCATTTATGTGCTAACCTCACATGCGTCTGGCCCCTAGACCAGCCCTGTCCCACTCATCCAGCCCCTATGGCTGGAAGATTGAGCACCACTGGTCAAGACAGTAACCACAAGGAATTTTCTTTTTCTTGTAGAATGGGTTTCAATTTAAAAAACTCTTGTAATACAAGCTAAGGGGTTGTAGTCCTGCATGGGTGACTAACAGGCAGGCAAGCAAACTGGAATTTATCACAAGAGGTCACTTGTGGTAGTATAGCAATATCCAGGAGACCATCTTCCCAGGAATGAATAAGCTAGCAAAACTGGTGAATATTGTACAGCAAATCAGACTAACAGTAATCTTGGGAGCACATAGATTACTGGAGCTGTGTGTACATAAATTCATTTAAACAGCAGGGAAGAATTCTCTTCTTTTTGTAGTGAGGTAGCACTAGAAACCCATGCTAACATGCTCTAACTGTTAGGAGCAGTGAGTTTATTTTGAGAGACAAAAATCATCCTGTCTGACTTGATATTGGATGTGCTTTGCTTTTCTAGATGAAAATTAGGGCCAGCATCATGTCAGGGTAGGATGAGATCTTTTCTCTGCAATGGGTTTTGGGTTAGATCAAGAAAGGAGGAGAAAGTCCTTCCTTTGGTTTGAAATCTAGAATTTTTTTTTAATTAACCTGAAGAGTTCCCAGCATGACCTGCCCTAAGCAGGTAATGAAAGAACACCTATGGAAAAAGACTTTATCTTTTCCCACTGATTGAAACTGTGACTACCAAATAGGCTGTTTTGGTATTCTTCAGAATTTAGTATTTAGAATGAAAGTATAAATGAATAGCGGTCATAGTTTCTAAGGGAGAGTCACAGGGTGTTTCCCTGCCAGTCATCTCAGTATGGCATAACAGGAGTCTCTTCACATTACTACGTTTCAAAGCATTTAATAAGTCATTGTATGAAAGGAGGGGTTTGGTACTGAAAAGAATGTTTTTGACCTCAAATCTTGAGCGTTTCTAAGGAGTAGAATAGTTGATATCCCAAATAGTGTTGTCTTTATTCCAAATAAAAAAGGTTCTCTGAAGTTTCTTGTACTCTAAAAAGCTGTTTAGCTCTTTGAGGTCAAAACCTGCTCTTGAGCCTCTCAAGTGCTTAAATACTAGGTATCATGTGAGTGTTTCTTTGTGTGTTTCAGTGATGCTCAACCTGTATAAATTTGTCATGCTGTGCTGTACTTCTTTGATTCCACTGGTCTGGCTGTTCTAAAGGAACTTGCCAAATGCCAGAAAGGTCTCCAAGGTATAAAATACACTTAATTTAATAGGTCCAAAGATGGGGTGGGTGATTTTTGGTTTTTTGCTTTTTGGGTGGGGAAGGGTGTTGGTTGTTTTTGATGGGGTGTTTTTTTTTTGGGGGGGGGGGGGAGGGGCGGTGATTTGATTTTTTTTTAAACAAAATAAGGTATTTCTTGGCCAGGAAGGGAGATAAATATTTTGGAGCAAGGGTGTCAAACTTGCCCTGGCCATGACCAGACCATACAGCTCTTTGCAGGCTGGATCCGCGGGGCCAGTGGCTACAGCAGGACCAGCAGAAGCTGAGGTGGCAACAGCAGCAGTGGCAGCAGAGATGGTGGAGCAAGCAACTATGGGCCAAGCAGAACCATGCTGCAGTGGAGGCAGCATAAGCAAGCCCAGCTCACTTGCCCTCCTCTGCCCCCCTGCCTGTGCTGTTGTCCAACAAGACTCCTGAATTCCATGGTAGCCCCCTCCCCCCGCTATGCTTCCAAATTCATTGGCCCAAATTCACTGGTGGACTGAATGGAAGAGCTGCATGGGCCAGATCCAGCCTGTGGGCCATATCTTTGCTGCCCTTACTGGATAGTAACTAGCTGATTTGTCTGATAGCTTTTTCTTGCTTTTATTTGGTCTGATCCTGTGTGGCCCAGGGATGAAGCCAGAGTCCATTTCTTTAATGTGAGCACTGTCAGCTTCCATGATTGTTAGGGATGGAGGCAATATTAGACTCTGCAGGTTAGAAAAGTAGGTGAGCCAGAATTGGAGATTCCTGATGGGAAGAATCTTTTCTGCTAATTTCTTGTCTATCTTTCAATCACCTGTTATAAAAGGAGTCTTCTTTACTGGAGCTATTTCAGAAGCTTAGCTTCAGCGTGGATGAAAAGTTCTCTCTTGATTTAACAATTTAGTCCTAGGGAAACATTGAGTGCAGTAGGGATGGGGTCTCCATACTGAACCGAAGTCACCTAACCCTAGCGGGGTAGGTATGTTTGTATCCTGTGGGATTTGTTCCTGATAGCAGGGTAGTTCAGGACTTTTAATTATCAACTTGGGAAATAGTGTATCTGTTAACTGCTGCAGAACCAACAAGGTGATCACAGAACATAAGCCTCTGTGTTGGGCCTATGAAAACAATAAGTTTTAATTTACTTTATAAATATGTTGCTGGTCAATTGATGAATGTTAATTTTAAAATATCAGACACTTTCTGCTGGATTATAACTATTTTGTGAAAAGACATTTTTTTGTACCTGAATTGATTTCCTGCCTCAACCCTAAGATCTTTAGATCAAATGAGTTTTTTATTCACTGCAGACATTAAAACATTGCTCATTTCTTATTACTTCTAGATCAGGAAATCTTGCGTAAGTTAGAAAAGGAGAAAATCTTGGTGTTCACACCGTCCCGCCGTGTGCAGGGGAGAAGGGTGGTATGCTATGACGACCGGTTCATAGTGAAGCTGGCTTTTGAGTCAGATGGTATCATTGTTTCTAATGATAACTACAGGGACCTAGCTAATGAAAAACCAGAATGGAAGAAGTTCATAGATGAACGTTTGCTGATGTATTCATTTGTCAATGACAAGTAAGTAATCCTGACTTTGTACCACTTAAAAAATGTATGGAGAAAAGGCCCCTGCAAAGGTTTCTGTTCAAGTTAGCTTCCATTAATATTATTAGTTACACATGAAGAAAATCAAAGGCTTTGGGTCTGATCTTAATCATCAAAGCCTTGAAAATTGCTCTTTGCCAGAGTATTAACAATCATTTTGTTAGTCCCTAACCTTTTGAATTCCTTAACTTTTCTACCTGTCCTGGAAGAGCCCAAAGACTGAAAAATGATTGAATTATCTAATGGGCTTATATAATTGCCCTAAGGTGCTGAGTTATTGTGTACATTGCATGTGTGCCATGTCATAAAACACCCAGGCAGTTCTGTGAGGAACAAAGATTCTTAAGGCACTTTAAGCTACAGTTTCAAATGTAATCATGTAAAAGTAAGCTCCTTAATTTATATGTTGGCATCTGCATAGACAGGGACTAAACTGCAAACAGGCTGAGCACCTGCTGCTCACGTGGATGCCTGTGGCTGCAGGAATTGCTCAGCATCACTGACAGTTGAGTCACATCAGTTTAACTGTTAAAAATTGGGTGAAGTGCCTTATTTTTAAGCACCCAGGCTTAAAATTGTGGCTACAGTTATGGATGCAGGATTGTGCTGGGAAATGCTCTGCAGGCCTGCAAACTGTAAAACTGTAAAACAGTTTGCAAGATGGCTCTGGAGGATATCCTGGGAATTATCATTGTTAGAGAGATGCTGTAGTGTGGAAGATGCTTTCCAGAACAGTATGTTTGGAACTTGCTGATTTGTTGGCTGATTCTGATTTGTAAAGTTCTTAGTTGCAGCATATACAGACTTTCCGTGCTATATATTTTTCTGGATAGTGTTTACTGGTATAGAATACACATAACAGGTTATTGTAATGGGCAGTCTTCTCCTACGAGTAGTTGCAACAAGAAGACAAAGGGCGTCTATACACTTGCTCTGGGCTGGGAGGGGAGGCAGGGGGCTTTAATTAGAGCTGCCCTGAGTGCTGCTCTAATTAAAGTGCTTGCAGGAGCATATGTATTCAGTATCCCATGCTTCAAAATGGCTCCGGGATTGCTTCAGCTAAAGCTCGTTCGATGACACTGACATTTGAAACTGTGACTTAAAGTCCAATGAGCTTTAGTTCAAGCACCCCCATCACTGTTTTGAAGCTGCCAGGGAGATGAGGAAGGGCTCTTCCATGTTATGTCTCAGTTGCCTAATGTAGTGGTTCTCAACATTTTTAAGTTCAAGGCACCTCCCATTGATCAAAGGCTCCACTCAAAAAATTCCAGCTCTTAGCTTTCACTTGTTTTTTTTACTACAGAAAAATAATAGAGCAATTCTTCTGTTGCTGAGAACTCAGATCTGAATGTTTTTAATGCTGTGGATTCCTATTTGAAATCTTCGGGTTTATCTTTTAAATCATATTTGCATACTTAACAGTGCTAACTTTGTGCAGCAACCCATGACACCCTTGAAAGGATCTCAAGGCACCCCAGGGTGCCATGGCACCACATTTGAGAATCACTGGTCTAGTGGTTGGGACACTTGCCCAGGAAGTGAAGACCCAGGTTCTAGGCTCCCTTTATCTGGAGAGGGTTGAAACCTGCATCTCCCGCTACCCACTATAACACAGGTTAGCCATTATCCAGTCCCGTCTCTAGTCCTCCACTTGAAGTTGAGCCACTGCACGATGCATCTAATATTGACTGGATAAAATGGGTGGAGGGCAGTCCAATGGACACACTTTTGCCCCATTAGAAGCAAGGGTCCAGGCCCCTAAATCCAAAGAACCATCCATCTCATGGAACCACACACCCTCTGGCTCACTCTCTTTCCCCTGTCCCCACATATCTCACTCTTTTGGATGTCCAGCTTCAAGGGGTGGGCTGGAAAGGGGTCTAAATAATGACTAATATGACCAGGTGGTTAGAATACTGTACTGGGGAGCAGATGTGAGAACCTGAGATCTTCCTTGGTGAGTGTCCTAACCACTAGGCTATTGAATTAAAAGATGGAAGGTGCTCTTCCTACCCCCACTCCATGGTGTCATGGGTTTTTATGCAGTTATAATTTCAGGTCTTCACCTGGCCTTACAAGGATATAGTGTCATCTACATGCCTAGCCAGAGTGCAGTCCTACTGAGCATGCTCAGTAGCCATATGGCTACTTGCACACCCAGAGTGCATTAAGAGCTTAATCGCAAACTGCATGCAAGTTCCAAAATGGCATGTGTGCAGCTGGGTAATCGCTATCTAGGTGTATCCAGTGGAATTCTGCCCAAAGTCTTTATATGCCAAGGACATGGAACATTTGTTAACTGTACTCTGGTAGTAATATTGTAGCTGAAATTCTATATTGTAGCTATGGAATTCTGTAAGCTGCTTGATAAAGTTAACTCATTTTTATTTTATTTTAATTTGGTATGTGTTATAGATTCATGCCTCCTGATGATCCTCTTGGCCGTCATGGCCCAAGTTTGGACAATTTTCTTAGGAAGAAACCAATTGTTCCAGAACACAAGAAGCAACCATGTCCATATGGTAATTTGATTTACATACTCTGCTATTGGAAGATATGAAGTGAACTCCTTCTTTTCTTTATCCTTGTGACAAGAATAGTGAAATGGGTTTTTTTTGACCATGACTCGAGCAAACCTGACTAGATCAATGAGAACTGACATGTTTAATTCATTTCTTATTTAAAGAATTTGTCTCTATCTACCACTTAATCTGAAGGAGTAACTTTATTAGTCATCAGTAAGTAAAAGGCTGTTGGCTACTGGGAGCACCAGCGAATACAGAGAGATGTGATCACACACAGTGTAATTCCATATTCCTCCTGTAAGGCAAGCTAGTCCTAAGTATCTGAGGTCCAGAAGGGTTTTTAGTCTGATTTGGAGTCCTGTGGTATACAATCTGTTTGACCAGGCTTCATTATAAAAAGGGGTACCCCAAGTAGAGCATGTCTTTGAGCATCTGGGCATGCCAGACTATTATGGAAGAAAGTAGACATTAATTACTTCTTGACTGATCATATCCCCTTCAAGTGACCTCAGTAACTAGGAAAGCCTCCTGCTTGCTAATGTAATGACTCCTCCTGTTCAGGTGTTCAGTGGCTTATGCCTCCCCTTCCAGTTTGATCACCTCTAACAATGAGGCAGTCTGTCTGCATGCAGCCACAGTTTGTTACACAGGCTTGCTTCATATGGAAGAGATTTCCCTGTATTTACAATAGAACCAAACCAAACACTTAAAACTGAGGATGTTATTTAAAAGTGGTGAAAATATTACCTTCTAGGAAGATAAAAGAACATTACAATGGTTTAGTGCACTACATTCGAAAACTGAAAATCACATTTGAAGACCAGTTTAGTATTGCCACACTCTGTTTAGGAGATGATCAGAAATAAGAGAGTGGGAGAGTAGTAGCAGCAATTACCACTACCCTGCTGCCAAGTTTCTGGACCCATCGGGAGCCCCATGGACTAGATAGCATGTTGCAGAGGTGGCCTGGGGCCTAATCCAGGGACCCAGGATCTGGCTTGAAGTGGTACAGGCCCCAGACCTGCAGCTCTTGGCCTGATCCTGGTTCATGGGGCCTGATCTAGGCTGTGAACCATCCCCAAGCCACTCTGGCCCATGCAAGCAATAGGTTGAGCATCACTGTTCTAGAGCACTAAGTGCAGCACATGGCAATCCTTTTCTCCACAACACAAGAAGGTAGGTTTGGAAGCTTTGCCTCAGGGACATGCAGACATGTGCTTTTAAAATCTGTTCTTCTCACTCAAAAAATTTACAGATTAGAGATCTTCTAGTTTACATTACTGAACACTTCTTTCTTTTCTTCTTTACTTTGACTAATGTGACTGTTAATAGGAAAGAAATGTACCTATGGGCATAAATGCAAATACTATCATCCAGAAAGAGGAAATCAGCCTCAGCGGTCTGTAGCTGATGAACTTCGTGCCATGTCCAGAAGCACAGCTGCTAAAACTGCAAGTGAAGGAGGATTGGTGAAAAGCAACAGTGTTCCATGTAGCACTAAGAATGATGGCACTTCTGATCTCAAACGTACTGCTCCAAAGAGGCAATCAGATCCTAGTATAAGGACTCAAGTCTATCAAGACTTGGAGGAAAAGCTTCCCACCAAAAACAAATTGGAAACCAGGTCTGTACCTTCATTAGTTACTATACCGAATTCTTCTGCTGCAAAACCCCAAAGTACTGCACCTTTAAGCAATGGCCTTTCATCCGGAGTTCATTTCCCATCTCAGGATCAAAGACCGCAGGGACAGTACGCTCCAATGATGATGGCAACCAAAAATCATGGAACGCCTATGCCTTATGATCAGTATCCAAAATGTGAGTCTCCTGTGGATGTAGGCTATTACTCTATGCTGAATGCATATTCAAATTTAAGCATATCTGGTCCACGAAGTCCTGAAAGGCGTTTTTCCTTAGATACAGATTATAGAATTAGCTCTGTAGCCTCCGACTGTAGCAGTGAAGGGAGTATGAGCTGTGGTAGTAGCGATTCCTACGTGGGTTACAACGATCGGTCTTATGTAAGTTCACCTGACCCACAACTGGAAGAAAACTTAAAGTGCCAACATATGCACCCACATGGCCGCCTTAACTCACAGCCCTTTCTACAGAGCTACCATGATCCTTTAACACGAGTGCAGAGTTACAGTCATGAAGAACCAAAGCATCACCAAAAGCCTCCAATTCCATACATGGCTGTACATCTGCAGCACCCTGCAGTGGGTGCTCGTTCTAGTTGTCCTAATGACTATTCTGCTCCTCAGAGTTCACCACATTCAAAGACCATGCATCTGGGGAGAGCCCTTGTGTCCACAAGAATAGAAAGCATCTCAGACTCACGCTTATATGATAATTCTCCACTAAGACATAGGAAACCTTATTCTGGCCAAGATGGGCTTGGAAGTTGGGATAGGCAGAGTTATGGGATTGATGCATATGGCTATCGCCAGACTTACTCCTTGCCTAGTAATCCCACACAGCCATGTTATGAACAGTTTGCCTTCCAAAGCTTACCTGAGCAGCAAGAACAGACTTGGCGCATACCTTACTGTGGAATCCCTCAAGACCCTCCAAGGCATCAAGACACCCGGGAGAAAGTTTATATAAATCTGTGCAACATCTTCCCCTCTGATCTTGTGAGAATTGTTATGAAAAGGAACCCTCACATGACAGATGCTCAGCAACTTGCTGCAGCCATTTTAGTGGAAAAATCCCAGCTAGGTTATTGACAGATGATGCATCTTTGTGGTGTCTGGTAGTTTTCAGTTCAGCTCTAATGCTGAGGGAGGTTTGCTACAATAGCATTTGTGATCTCCTTCTCAGCAAGGAGGTTATATAGTAATCCATTTATGTGAAATACTGTATCATGGAATCTGTATGTATAGCCCCATGCACTGGAAATAACAGATTTGTTTTACACTCTAATTTGAAAGCTTTTAAATGGCTATATTCATGGCTGAAAATCTTTCCAGCTTAAGTTAATATATATATATTATCTCTGGTCTCTGGTAATAGTCTTTGGTGCATCAGGGGTTTATATGCAGCACTTTCTATGCTTATTACATGTTTGTTTTTGTTTTTGTTTTTTTTAACTTCCTGTATGTTTGTCCTTCAGCTATGAGGCATTAAAGCAAGCTGCAGAAAGTCAAAAGGATTTTAATAGACATGGGAAACAATTTTCAAGCCAAGCTTAATTTGAAGTTTTTATCCCAATTGAGATTGTGGATGGGGTGTTTGCTTGTTTTGTTTTTTGTTTTGGTGGGCTTCTTTATGCTATAATCACCTATTTATAGAAAACAAAGATTTACTACAGCACTGACTTTATTTTTTAATAAGTTAAGTTACCAGTTAATGTTGAAATGGGTAACAATATATTAGTAATTTATAGGATGGCACTTTTTTCATTGCTTTTAAAAAAAATAGTTACATGATTTGTTGATGCAGTTGATTAAGTAAGAGCAAATGCAATCAGAGGAAAGCAACTCATGTCCATTGTTTTATGGATAAGGCAAAAGCCTGATGGCCTAGTTGTCAAAGAGGCTGAGCATATGGAACTCCTTTAGACGCCAAAAGAAGTTGCAGATGCTCAGAATGTCCTAAAATAGGCCACTAATGTTTCCGTTCACATGCATTGTGATCCAGGTCTTGTGTTTTTCTGCTCAGTAGAAATGGAACTGAGACCTCAGGATTCCATTCAGTTGTTTTGTGTCCTTTTCCCCTTTGTATTGGTGCACAAGTATACTGGATAAAACATGTTTTTTCATAAAATATTGACCTGTTTTTAAAATGAATCTAATTATTCTCAATGCAAGTTTTGTATTTAAGATACTGTTAGATTTTCTCACTGTTTATCAAGGCTGGCCCGAGAAAGTTTCGTGTGTTGAGGATATGCAACTTTATTAACTGCACTATGGTAATGATATTGTAGCTGAAAATAATAACTTAAAAACTTTTTTGTAAAATACTGTATATGTTCCTGAAATTAGATTTTGGCCTGTTGTATTATGTAGGCCCAGTCTTGCCACAAATAGTGTAGTTTAGAAATGGACAAAATAGTCTGTTCTAGCACTAGTAAGGGATATTTCTGGTTTTAAGTCATGGGTTTTACTAGCATCTCTCACACTTTTTATATATATAAAAAAGGAGATTTTGCAAATGATGACAGTTCTGTTTACATTCTTGTAGTCAGTTTCCTATCATTTTAGGTTTCCCTCCAGCTTAATGTTGTTCAATGTTAAAATTTTACTAGTTTACAAATCACTGCTAATAATTTTGGTACAATTGCTGCAATTTAAAGTAAGGCCCTGAAGAACCAGAAAGTACCTTTTACTGTTGATACAAATTGTATCTTTTTAACTGAGAACTATTTTGATTTGTAGATCTAATGAAAACACAAATGTGTAACTATGATTAGACTTTTGGGCAACATTTTATCCCTTATTTGACATAATAGATTTCATCTCTATACTAGGATTAGACAAATAAAAATACAGCTATTTATTTAGGTAAGCGTCTGTCTCAGTTTCATATATTATATTTAAAAAAAACTATTGGCATTTTCTTCCTTCTAAACTAACTGTACCTAGTGTAAACATACTAAAAATAAAGGTAAAATGCTGCCTGAAATGAACGTCCGAGCACCTTTGAATAGGAAAACATTTCACTACTTGTGCAACACTGTGTGTTGCGAGAAGTAGGATTTGGGTACACAGTAAATGCTTCTAAAAAGCATTGTGCTTATAGACATAGCCAATAATCTGAACCGTGTTCAGCAAACTTAATTCAGGAAGTGTTCTTCTACACAGCTTTTACTGTTGGTTTGATCTGGGATCTTCATTCATCTGTCCTTTGTACCAATTACAGGAGGTGTTGTACGTAAGCTGTCTTGGGTTGTCTGGTTAGAGAGAGAGAACCTGTTCACCTGTGACTACCATTTTCCTTGATTTTGTCAGCCATTCTTCCTAGAATGTGTTTTAATGTACAGGACGATACATTGCTGACACTGAGTCTAAAAACAGTAAATGATCTTAGTTATACTTTTTTAATTGAATTACACTTGCATACTACACCATAGTGTAGGTGCAGCCATTTTAGTATTGCAATGATTATAGTAGTGTTTTGTTTTTAATGAGTTTCTACATTTATTTTTTATGTCAGAATTGACTTCTGCAAAAACTTGAGTACTTTTAAATATGAGCAGATATAGTGTGTGTGCATGTGTGTGTGTGTACACATATCCTATACACACACACATATATATGTAACAGAAACATTTCATCTTTTGAGCATCAGATTATGTCCTAATATATACATGTAGTAGTTTGGCTTATAGTGTTAAATCATTAGGCGTGGCTTCCTGTGAGAGGTATCACATGGGACTGCATGCTGCAGTGCACAGATATGAGCTATCAGCAGTGAATGCTTTCTTGTATATTTAATCATTTAGAATAAGTTAATTGCTAGAATTTTAACAATGTGTCCAACTATGTGCTTTGTACTACAGCACTAAAACGCTTTACAAAATGGTAGTTGAGAAGTTACTTGGCAACTGTTTTAATATTGTGCAATGATATTCTAGTTCAATTCAAACTTGGTTATGTTGTATGAAGAAAAGGGTACTGCTGACAAAACATTAGGTCTTTGGTATTTCCTTCTTTGTTGCAAGCAACAGAGAAGGTAAGCAGTACCTTGTAAATTCTTCCAAGTAGAAGAGATCAGGCTAGATATGTAATAGCTAAAAGATGACACCAGTATTAAGCAAGAAATGGTAATACTGGGGACTTGACATTGTTTTATGTAAGATAAATTAATATAACTGCAAAGTAATGTGATTTATATTTTAAAAAGTAAAAAAGCCTGGGCTAAGGATTTTCCCTTTGCTCTAATCAAGTATTATGGCTTTCAGTCCTGGATAAAGCAGCTCCAGAAAATGGAGGCTTCCACCATTACTGAAAAGAGGGTAACATGTCTCCTTGCCTTCAGTATTTGAAATACAGTATACAATACTGTTATTGGGTGTATACCCAATAACACCCAAAGTGTTATTGGGTATACAAGTAATAGTTTGTAAATATACAGTACTTTTACCCGTCTGTATTTTCATAGTATTTCCATTTGTGGCTGTTTTGTATAACTAGCTTCACTGTCATATAAAGTTTTTAATTAAGATCACGGGTAGGCAACCCCCAGCATGGGTGCCAGAGTGTGGCATGCAGAGGCATTTTCCTTGGCATGCGTGCCTCAGGGTGGACAGTGGGAAAGGGGCCGGGGCTGCACTGCCACAACAAAGATCAGGTCCTTCAGGGCTCTCCCACCATCCTCCCCCGCAAGCCAACATCTTACAAGTCGAGATTGCGTGTGTTTTTGATATTCTGCCCAAAAGCATTGCTGACCCCTGCTCTAGATACTCTTTTAAATGATCTTAACATGGAAAGGCATTTTTTTCCTGATACAACATCACTGATTTGAGTGTAATTACACCAGGACTGAATTTGGCCCATATTTTATAACAAAGTTGTGATGGTATTAACCACTGCTTTGTCTTTAGAAATGTCTTCCTTTTATCCTTGAATCCAGTTGTCAACTGCAGCTAATATTATGAGGTAAGATCTTTTCTTGTCAAGTAACCTTTTTTATTCAGTATGGCTGAATATAACATTCCCCAACTAGCTATTGGAATAGCAAAACTATAAACGCAATATTGAAGCATGCAAGAGGTGGTCTAGATCTAGAGATGCTATTGGGTGACACACTGAAAGCTGAAAGGGTTGGCTGTTTAGGTTGGTGACAAATGAATTAAACTGAAAGGAGGAGAGGTGAGTTTGGCAGTAGAGGCAAAAGGAAAATACCACTGGCAAAAACAAATATGTTGATGAAACCAAAAGCACCTTGTGTTTGTCAAAACGAAAAGCCTGTGGCTTTGTGTCAGGAAAGTAGATAACTTTGACTAGGAAGGTTAGATATGAAGTTTTTTTTTAAAGCCCCCATGGTGACCACACTAAGAAGTTACCAAAACGTTCATCCATTAAGCATTTGAACAAGGTATTCTTGATTTGTTAAGATTGAAATACTAGACACACTGCTATCATCATATCCCGAATGTTGAGAAAAATATCCAGTTGACTTACCTTGCTACTGGACACTTATAATACTGTGCAATTAAAAATATTTTAAAATAAAAGTAGGTTAGGAATTATTTATTTTTATTTACAGTTACTCATGTTAATTTATTCCTATAATTTATACCTTTATATCTAAGTTTTAATTATTATTGAAGAAAAACATCAAAACAAAGCAAATAACTGATTAAAGCTAGAATGTTGGTCTTGTTTTGTTGTTTAAGGGCTAGGGTTTCATAACCAAGCCAGATCTCATATTTTCTATCCATTATAAACATATCAAGAAGTTTGGAAGTCACTGGAGAATTTTATTTGGACTGTATAAAAATCGATATACGTATTGTTTTACTTGAACATGCAGATAGTCCAGATTCATTTTGAATGACCATTCTAACTGACCTAGATAGCAATGGTTATACTCTAGATTTCATGCCCAGGAATTCAGAGTAAATTTAATTTTGTAGTTTTCTTAAGACTTCATTAGCGACTGATGTGTCAGTCGTCTAATCATGCATATCAGGGCTGTCCAAATTCTAAGCCCATTCTGCACTATACTGGCTGCCTCAGACACACCATGGAAATTATTTCCCTCCAACGGCTGCAGTGTGTCCCCTTTCTCACCCTCAGTCCCACGCTCACCCTCAAATCCCTCTTCTGTGCAGCAAAGGCAGAGGAAGGAGGTGAGAGCCTGGAGACTTGCACTCAGCTGAGTGAGCGCCCAGGGCTGTGCATTAACTCCTCATGGGCCACATGCAACCTATAGACTGCCAGTAGGACAGCCCGGATGTATATCTCGACCTGGATAGCTGATTGATGTATATCTCTGCACTCTGTGCACATGAGAATCATACTACTGTATGTATGTTTTTGCAGTCTATTAAAATTATTACATTTTCTGTATAAAAATGGTATAGTTGTATATAAAGGCTGCTATCAAATTAGAGTTAATTCAATCAGTAGCTAATAGTGCTGTATAACTAGTTGGGCTGGCTGCAAATTTAAGTTCTTAAAAAGTGGTCATAATTTTTATAATTGTATGCTTCTGTGTCTAACTGATAGCATTGTAAGTTAAAGTGATTGTAATGGCCTCTCTAGAGTATGAAAAGCTTGGACTTCCTTCTCAAGAGATCTTTTATTTCTCATTCAGAATGTGGTGGCATCATGTGAAGTGCCAATCCTAGAAATACTTACACATACTTCTAACTTGAAGCCCAGGAATAATCCCGATGGCTTGACTTCAGTGGAATTACACAGAGGTACAAAATTAGACACATGCATACTTTTTTGCAGAATCAGGGCTCAAGTTTGTTTCTGTTTTGAAATGGAGATGGGTGAAGTTTGCAGTATGTAGGTTCAAATCCCCTACTTCAGCAAATAGGTAAAACTGCATTAACATTAACTGCAGCAGTGAATTTTACCACTCTGTTCCTGATCACTTGAACATACACAAATATTTATATTGAACAACTTGTCCAAATTCTTATTCACACCTTTCAAATGCATAGCGATCTTGGTTTCATTTTGCAAAGCAAAACTTGTCCATCTTTTGTAAGGCAATTTTTTTGTCTCAGCTGATAAAGTTAACATGGCATAGGGTTTGTTTGTTTTTTAATTTTCTGGGCAGGATCACATTTTTAAACACATTTGAACAACAAAAAAATATATACTTCACACAAAAATGCAGGGAACTTAGCAGCATAAATCATATTTTGTGTTTCATTCCCTCCCCATATATTCTCTCTGGAACTTGTATCAATTAGTTGGGATTTTAGCGTTTGTCCTGAAGAAAAAGATAGGGTCAGTGAACTTTGGGACAACTTAATGAACTAATTGTTAAACTTCCTCTCAATTCCGTCACTGGCTGTTTTGTACTACTGTGATGTGACTGTTCACATCTGTTAACAATATTTTAGACCTCATGAAAACCATTGCAAAACATGTACATGAATTCTGCTTTTAGAGAAAAATAAAAAGATACATTTTTTAATGGTTGGGTTGTTTTTTGTTTTATATAAAAAAAAACCTTGTTAAATTGACAAAAAAGTTAACACTGAAATTCTAAAAAGCATCATTCAGAATTGCAAAAGACAACAACTGGCTTCCTTTAACTTTATTTAACTTTATTAGCAGTGGCAAGATCAAGTATGTTAAATGCATAAGGGGTTCAGGAACTGTCAGCGCATTGTTACTGGGGTAATTTGTGTTTAATTGATTTAGCTTTTGAGCCCTGGCCTTTGTTCTTTTCCCACTCTGTCCCCAGCTTTCCCTTACAAAGAAAACAAAAAGCCAAGGAATTAAAGAGGATTGTCAGTAACTTAGTGGCAGAATTTGTTTGAGAGTCTCTGTGTATCAACAGAACTTGACTCCTTTTCAGATGCTGCCACAAGTCTGTTTTTCATTAATTGCATAATCTTACTACCCAAGGATTGGGTGACAAGTCACTTGATAAATTCAAAGCCCCTGCTCTGTGCCTGAGGAAAGAGATTATGGAGCTGGCTATATGCTAATTTTAATTTATTTGCAAAGAGAATCTGCTGCAGATGGGATATGCTTCCTCTTCTCCAGCTGAAAGAGCAGCTTGGCAGCTCCTAAACTAATGAGTAGGGCAGGGTGGTAAGAGTAACAGTGGAAATAAGTATCAACTTGGAAACCATTACTACCAATAAATTCTAACCATTGATCATTTGCACACACTGTAGCAATGTGTTTTGCATGGCTGAGTTTCTGTGGTGCTGTTTGCATACCTCATTGACTTTGCTTCATTTGCAGGGCTTCTGCAAGGACTGCACTAGCATAAAACACAGAGGTTTACTACTCACAAGGAGGTGTGAGAATCCTGTAGCAATGCAGCTCCTTGCATGCTGATCCCAAAGCTCTTGTTTGTCCTGCATATGCAGCAGGGGTAGAGAAATGCATATGAAGCGTGTTGCGTAACATTCTTGCGATTCCTTGGCAGAAAAACAAAGCAGAATTATGTTTCACTAGGGGTTTTTTTTGGCACGATACCATACAGTACACCTGCTTTCTTCTGACAAGCTGTTCAACTGGCTTTTTTGGACCAACAAACTTTTTACAGACCAATTATGTACCCTTAATGGAAAGGGGCACCAGCTGCAGATCACTTGCTGTGGCCTTGTGGACCACAACTTTGGAACCAGTGCTCCACAATCCTCTTTCATCAAATCTGAGCTTTTTGTTAATTCACCCTCTTGCTGTTTCACTTGCCCTCTTCTGGTATCAAATGATTCCCTTATGTTTATTTTATAACATTACCAAGACTCTCCAGCACCTTTTGGAGACTGTTTTCAGTCACCAAAATGATCCAAGCTCCACTCCCAGGGTTTTGGTTGTAACTATTTGTATGTTGCTAAATAGAAAGAGAATCAGGTCCATTTGTTCCAGGCCCATTCTGTAGAGCAGATCTATTTAGTGGCATCCTCAAAGTTGGCTTAAAAGGAAATTAAAGTCAGTTATTTAAAGAAGTGCCAAAAGTTAACTTGTCTATTGTCCACCTAAACAGTGATACCCTTACATGATCATCTGAAAAAATATTTTTCTGTTATTATAGATATGGGTGTGCAGCACTGAATGCTAAGCATCATAAGTGACAGCTGTACATGATCAGGTAATGAAAAAGGCCTCAAAAGATTATAAAAAAGTGTCTTTTATTTAAAAATGTGATATACTACGTGTAATTGTGCAATTAAATAACACAGGCACAAAGAGCAGAGCTGAAGGTCTATGCACAGCATGAAAACTGACACTTTCTGCCATTGGATTGCTTACCAATACAGTCTTGTGTTACAGTGCTCATCAAATGCACAACCCCATTTGCATTACAAGGATTGTGGGGAGGGCTTCTCTCTGCTTCACCTTCTTACCTTGACAGCATCTGTACACAGAATGAGGGGAAGGCTCCATAGACCAGGACAGTGAATGAGGAAAGGGTCCTTGCTGCTCCCTTGTTCATTACACTGAGTACCCATATGAACTGCACTCTTGAAACAGGTCTCCATGGAGCCATGGCACACTGAGTGACCTGGTTCATCCTTACTTTGCAGAAACAGCAGGATGTATGCGTGGCTTTGCCTCATTTTCTGAAAACCTGCAGGGTGTCTTCTTGCCTGTCTTGGGGAATGCCTGCCAGCTTCAACAAGGAATGGGAATTGGCCCATACTTCAGATACAAAGTGCCATTTCCAAAAACATCTTCATAAGATAGGCACACAAGATGCTGCTGTCTGATTTGGACTTCAACTTGGGGCTCCCACATCCCAGAGGAGCATCCTGAGCTCCTCTGGGATGTGCTCAGGAGCTATAGACAGGCTGTGTTTCTCTCAGTCATTAGCTGACCTACTGTACCTCGTACAGTTTATTTACTGAGACAGACTAACATTATAGGTCAGTGGTTTGGGCTCTCATCTGAACACGGGTCCCCACCTCACAAATCCCTGCTCCAAAGTCAGTCAGCCCTCAGCCTGTACCGGTGCATGGAATTGTCCTGTCCTAAGTGCAGGACTTCGCACTTCTCCTTGTTGAACCTTATGGGCGCGTCCAGAGGAGTGCGCATGTGCCTCTTGCCCTGCCTCAAACCCCTTTATAGTTTCATAGTTTCATAGTTTCAGGGTCGGAAGGGACCTAATAGATCTTCTAGCCCGACCCCCCGCCAGGGCGGGAGAACAACCCAAAAAACACAAACAAAACCACTCACCCTAAAAACAAAAACGGGACTCAAATGAGTCCAGCCAGGTAAGTATCCAGCCTCTTCTTAAAGATCCCCAGGGTAGGGGCCAGCACCACCTCCCTTGGAAGTTGGTTCCAGCTCCTAGCCGCCCTGACTGTGAAGTAGTTTTTTCGGATGTCCAATCTGTACCTCCTCTCCATCAACTTGTGCCCATTACTCCTTGTTATGCCAGCAGGGGCTAGGGGAAACAGCGTCTCCCCCAAACCCTTCTGGTTCCCCCTAGTGAGTTTATAGACGGTCACCAGGTCCCCCCTCAGCCTTCTCTTGTGGAGGCTGAATAGGTTCAAGTCCCGCAGTCTCTCACTGTAGGGTCTGCCCTGTTGTCCCCGGATCATGCGGGTGGCCCTCCTCTGGACCCTCTCCATGTTGTCCACATCCCTCCTGAAATGGGGCGCACAGAACTGGACACAATACTCCAGCTGCGGCCTGACCAGCGTCGCATAGAGGGGGAGGATCACCTCCCTGGCTCTACTCGAGATGCACCTGTGGATGCACGACAAGGTCCGGTTAGCCCTGCCAACCATGACCTCGCATTGTCGGCCCATGTTCATCTTGGAGTCAATAATGACACCAAGATCCCTTTCCGCCTCCGTGCTCTCAAGTAGGGAGCTCCCCATCGTATAAGTGTGCTGCTGGTTCCTACTACCCAAGTGCAGCACCCTGCACTTGTCCGTATTGAAACGCATCCTGTTCCTGTCTGCCCACCCCTGTAACCTATCCAGATCCTTCTGCAATCTCTCTCTCCCTGCTAGCGTGCTCACCTCCCCCCAAATTTTGGTGTCATCAGCGAATTTAAACAGGTTGCTCTCCACCCCAACATCAAGATCGCTGATGAAGAAATTGAACAGCGCAGGCCCCAGGACCGAGCCCTGGGGGACTCCACTACCCACCTCCCCCCAAGGGCATATGATAGGAATAATTTAGGGGTTTTGTCTATTGTAACTGATACAGTGAGACTTGTAATATTGCTTTTTTGGTTTAAAAATTAAGATAGAAATTGGTCAAAATAATTGTTTCCTCTCCCTCCAAAATATCAACTTGTTGTCACTACCCCAATCTAAAATACATTTTGAGTAAAACAAAACACCTGTTTTTGGGCAGGGGGAAGATGGAGGTAATTTTATTGGTTTTTGTGTTTCCAATGCAGCGCAAAATATTGAAGAAAGCCCTTTCCAGGAAGTAGTCAAAATGTTTTACAAAGCATTTATATATTCTATTCCTCCTTTCCTTCATTGAATCTTCCTTAATTCTATGTATTTTATTGATACCCCAACTTCCCCTTTCTCTGTCACTTTTCTGAAATAACAAAGCTATCCATCTCATTTATAACTAAAATCTGGATATCATCTTCAGCTTAGCTCCCCCTATCTCATATCTCAACTCAGAATATGCCTAAATCTTGGCGATGATATGTATACAGCATTTCTAAGACTTAGATTTTCCTTCTCATCCACTAAGGTGAAGTGGGCCTGGATGTGAGATTTGCATTGCAGTTTGATTCCCTCATTTCTCTTCCTCCTCTTTATTCACAATCTGCATTTAAAATAATGCAAATAATGCATAATAAAATGTCCCTTTGACTCCATCTAAAATGCTGCTTCAGTAGTAATATTTCTTCCTCAAGTTGCTTGAATCACATCACACTTAAAACTTTTATGGATCCTTTAGAATCGTAGAGAAGTAGGAACCGAAGGAACCTCCATAGATCATCTAGTCCAGTGGCTACCAACCAGTGGATCTCGATCCACCGGTAGATCTCGGAGCCTCTTGAGATAGATCTTAGAGCCTCTTGGAGTTGATCTAAGGCTGGGGTGGGGGGGCTGAGTGCCTATGTTCATGCACTCATGTGCCCCAGCCCAGCAGGTCAGTCCATCAGGGTGGGAAGGGGCAGGGGCTAGATTGTGGCCCCTGTGTGAGGGATAGTGTAGCAGAAGCAGGAGCAGGGTAAGTTGAGTGAGGCCCTGGCTGGGTGGGACTTACCTGCTGGGGAGGTGCACCCAAATAAATTTTACTCCCTCTGCCTCAATCTGAGCCCCCCTCCTTCCCTTCCCACAGACTTACCTGCTGGGTGGAGGGAGGGGAGTGGTGGCAGCAGCACATGTTAGATCTTGGGTTGCTTTTAAATGCCAAAGGTAATCTCCTACTTAAAAAGGTTGGAGACCACTAATTTATTCAACCCCCTGCCTGAGGCAATATTATCCCAGTCCAAATCCATTGTCTAAC